ACAAGCAAGGAGCTCGGCAGGCTGCCGCGTCGCGAGCGAGGTCCTGTGCAGGCTGTTGTGCCACGGAAAACCCTGCGAAGAACGAAGTCCTCTGGAAGTCGGGAACTTGGCCGCTTTTGCGCACTTTTTCGGCCCAAAAGAGAGCGGTGACGAAGCGGTGACGAACGGTGACAAGCTCGGCGGGATGGAAGTTGCCTGCTTTTCCGGGCAGAAAACGGAATCAAGAGCAGAGTGAGCGTCTGGAGCCTGTTTTCGCAGAAACCGAGCGAATCTAGAGGCTGAGGCGCCCCGATGGCCGTCTGACAGGAAAAAACGAACTTTTCGGGATTTCGGAAAGTTGGCCGTTTTGAGCATATTTTCGACCAAAAACGGAGCGGAAAGGTAGTGGTGACATCAGTGGTGACAAGCGTTTTTTGGGCGAAAAAAGGCCATTTTGGCAGCTTTTTGAAAAAACGAAAATAATTAGGCCACCAAGCGCGCCCTGCTTGCACCAGCGGCGTCGCATCAAGATCCTCAAGGTGCTGCTGCATTCAAAGCGCAAGAAACAGCAAGTCCGCGTTTCTAAGGCAACTCTTTACACCCACGCGCGCCAAACCCGGCAGAGCTTGCCCTGCGCTAAAGGCTGATTACCAGTGGCAGAAGAAGTTGGAAAGCGGTCAGAAGAGACAGAGGCCGAAGTGAAAGAACCGCGGAAGCAACTCTGCGCGCTGCTTCTCAAGAAGTTTGATTTGACGCAGCAGGTCTTCGCAAGAGCACGGCGCTCCGCCGGGGGCCGCCGCGCCATAAGAGGCTGCAAAGCGTCTTACTGCCCGTGCGGTGGCGCCTCACGCTGCCCGACATCTTGAGCCAAATCAACGGAAGGAAGCACGCTACCACGCAGGTGGCGCCGGACCTCGCCAACTCCGACCCCAAAATGGCCGAGATAGCTTTGCGCAACATCGAGCGCAGGGCCAAACACAAGGTGACCCGCCCGGAAATCAAGGTCGGGGATATGGTTAGGATCAGGGTAAAGCCGATCAAAAGCTCCTACAAGGTCAACCTGGAGCGAAAAGGTAGCCTCCGTCAAGAGTGGGGAGATGGGGGTACAGAGAGGCCCCAGTCTCCTGCTTCTAAATGTCCCAGAAATCCATCAGCTCCTTGAACTCCCTCTTGAACTCGGAGCCGTCGTAAGAGTACACGTTGGCCGGCACCGCCAGGGTTTGGAACACCTTCTTCGCGCCCGCCGCCGTGGTGGTCGCAAGACGGTCCTTCAGCGGCTCAGCCGTCCACTTTTTTCGTCAGCGCGTCGACGGCTACCAGCATGAAACCCGAAGGCCTTCATGTCGGCCAGGTCCACTTGCAGCTTGGTCATGGGCTCCAGAGGCGCAAAGCTGCCTGTGTGGCCGATCCTGGTTGACCCGGAGGCTGTCCAGAAACGCTGGCGTTGCGGGACTGAGCCTGCTGCAGCGTCTGCGCGATGCTGCCGAAGGGAGCCCTTCAAGTCGGCCTCGGCCATCTCCGTCTTCACCCGGCTGTCCGACAAGTCGGTGAAGCTTGTGTTGCAGACCACATCTTCAGCAGCCCGGTGGCCGGATTCTTGATGACCCGCACGAGCGGCTCGAAGTGCGCTATGACGCTGAGCACCAGAGCGTAGCCTTCCTGGAGCCGCCGCGGGCGCTTAGTCAGCTGTATTCCCGCAGATTGAAGCTCGGATTGACAGTGCTGGAGGGACTTGCGGGGCCGCGAGATCACCGCCAAGGCGCAAGTCACGGTTTTCTTTTTTGGGGAGCAAAGGTCAGCGCCGGGAGCGAAACTGGACGCGGCGGCCAAGCTGCCCGCCGGCTGTGGCGTCCACGGTTATGTGTTCCTGTTCTCAGCGAGCGACGGCTGCTTCGAGCCAATCGTTGAGCGTCTGCAGAGTCGAGGGCTATTCTTCACTCCTTGCAGTCCTTCTTCAGTGTCTGGATTCCCCGGTCCACCATGACCGTGGCGTTGCGATCCTCGGCGCTTCGTTTGGTGCACCGGGCAGCTCCCGGCAAACTCGTTGCCCAGGTCGGTCATGACAACGAAGTTCTTGTCGTTCCCCGTCAGCTCCTGCGTGCACGTGGCCCGCCCGATCACGCCGCTGGAAGTCGACACCAAGGTGGCTAACGCTCTCCTGAGCTCCAAGCTTGCAAGCCAGGGGCCTGCAAGCCTGCAAGGCAGACGCCAGCGTTTTGTCAGCGTACGCCCTGCATCCTCAAAGGTGAACACAAAGATAGCAGGCCCTTCTGGGCGCCGTGACCACGACGTGGCCCTCGCTGGCAAGGTGGACGCAAGCGCGCTGACGTCTTCACCCGAAGGCTGCCGTGGAAGCCCTGCAGAACAGAAGCGATTCGAGGGACCGCCGTTAAGGCCGTAGTTGGCACCGTGGCCAGCGTGGCGTTGTTCGTCGGGCGTGCTTTTCGTGGCCCTCCAGCACGTCGAATGCCTTTTTCAAGAGCCCCGTGGCATACCTGCGCGTGTCAGAGCGAGGGCCAGCTGCCCTGCGGCCTTCCATCACCTCTCCGCTGTTCAGGACCTCCGGGATGTTCCCGGTAACAGGTCCTTCAAACATGTTTTTTACATGTGCTTTCGCCGACGCCAAGTGGCGTCGGCGAAGGCGCTTTGCCGGTTCTTGCTCCGCGTGGGATCGATTGCGCGGATGGCGAGATGGGTACGGGGCGTTCTTTTTTGCTGCCAGCCGTCGTCGATGCACGCCCTTGTGCTGCTCCAGGATGAGGCTACGGTCTTGCCCGACTTGCTGGGTCCAAGGAAGATGCCCGTGATCTTTCCCATGATGGCCTTTTCCTTTACAACGCAGCCTAATGGCGCAACAGTGACTCCAGATCAGAAGGTTGGGTTGGAAGTTCGAATCTTTCTGGCCTCATTTGCTGCATGTGAGCGTGGGTCACCCTAGGTTGCGACGAAGCGTGGCACGTTCGGTTGGCTTGCCCACGCAACAGGACTCGAACCTGCAATGTTTGGTTCCGAAGACACGATGCCTTATCCATTAGGCCACAGCATGGCCCGCAGTCAGAGTCAACTCGAGCCAAGAGCGACAGGCAGCGAAGCGCGCGGGAGAAAAAATCAGGTTGTGAGCCCAACACGCTAACCACTGCGCCACTTTGACTGGCAAGAAGACTCGCGACAAACAAAATCTTTGCGAGTTTACCGGCGCGAGCCAAGCGCCATCTTGAGAAAAGTCCGAACCCGGGAAACGCTCCAGGCCACTGGAGGGAGCACCCAGGGAAGGCTTTCCGAGCTACAAAAGCTCCGCGGCAGAAACGCACTTGCAAGGCCAGAAGCAGCGCTTTAAGCCGGGCAACTCGACCTTCCGCAGACGCACAGAAGGCGGCCAGGACCGGTTTTGCCTGCATTTAGAAGCAAGCTGAAGACCGTCACAGAAGTGCAAGCACAAGGGCTGTGGCCGCACCGCGCGAAGTTAAAAAACACCACCCTATTTTTGCAGAATCCGCAAATGCTCAATGATAAGCTCCGAGGATGTGCTACAAGAGGTTTTCGGATTCCAAAATAACAAAGAGAGCCCTGTTGGCATGCGTCTTGCCATGCCAAGTGGCCGTGGAAAGTTTCCATGCGTGCAACATTTTGTGGTGCCGTTGTTCCGAGATTGCAACCCCGCAGCGGCTGTGAATTTCTCAACTCTGGTTCATGCGCGAGACTTTACTAGCGGACGATGTGGAACTTAGGAGCAAGGCTGGCACTGCCCGGCTTGAGTTTGAGCTGACTGGCCCAATGGCCTTGCCCAACCAAGGAGGCCCAGCGTTACATTGCGCGCAACTCGCACTGATGCGCGTTGCCTGGATGGTAGAGGGGCACGCAACGCATAGCGTTTCTCCCCACAGGTACAGACAATACTGCGTCTAAAAAAGGAGTGAACAAACTGGCCGTGCAAGCCTCTGCTCACACATTCAAGTGGTCCGTAATTGCCTTACACATCCCTGGTGAGCGCAACATTTGGGCAGATCAGTCTAGTCGAGGGAACCTAGCCTCCTTTGCGTCAAGGCCGCACCGAAGAGTGTTTGCACAACTTTTTGCGTGCAGCCTCATGCCATTGCACACTGAAACATGAAGGCAACGCCTATGCAGCGCCAGACACGCGCTACCGGGGTGCAGCCAACCCCACGCAAAGCGCCTACGCGCCAGCGCTTCACACCCCAAGCACGTACAAACCTTGTCGATTTGGCTGAACACGCATTGTTGGCCGGGGGGTATCAGAACAGGCTGCCTTGAGTTGAACACGTGTTGACTCATCTGCATTCCAAAGCCCGCACCTCTGGGCAACGCATTGGAAAAGAAGCGGCGCGTTTGTCCGTTACAGGTTTCCTTCTTTAATATGTCCTTGTTAGTCTTGAATCAGTGAACAGGTTTCTATCGGGAAAACTTAAATCCTGAAAGCTTCCTCAACACTAATTTGTGTTTTGGGTTCTATTTTGAATAGACTAAATCTGGATTCTAGTCTGATGTTTTTTCTGGGTATCCCGGATATGCGCCGAGTCATGGTTGCTCCTTGCGGACCGTTGTATTCCTGGTTGTGTTTGATGGATGTCAAACCAGTTGCCAGGCAATGTAAGGGCTGGCCAGGCACGTGCTACCTTTCGTTCCCCCCGTTCTTAAGTTTTCTGCCAAAAAGGGACGTTCTCAGCCAACACCCAGCTTGCCTCGTCATTTGGCCGCACAGAACTCGGACGATGCGACAAAACAGGTGCTGATGGCTGTGTTGCCCGCTTCATGCCTTGCTCGTTTTTCAGGGCTGAGTCAGCACAGGCTAAAAATTCTTTTGGCGTGGCAATGCATTGCGTTACGAGCGAATCTCGAATTTGACAGACCTACATGAAGGTTGTTCAACAGGCCCTCGCCTTGTTTTTGGACCCGTTTGTAGGACCCTATAAAAGGAGAAGGGCAATTGTTTTGTTTTTCGGGTGCGACATTGAAGCGTTTCTTCTTGTTGAAGATTGAAATGTGCCGGATGCTTCTCCTTCAGCGCAGCAAGAAGCTCAGTCTCGGCCCCGGAACTTTTGCAGCAATCATGACCGTTGGCCGCTTGGCAAGCAGCGAGATACGTCCCAACGGAGTAAGCGTGGCCTGGCCCCAGAGGGCAGCTGGGGCAACCAGACTAACGCAACCATTACATGCGTCATTGATCAACCAAAAAACCAAAACAAAGAACAATTTGAGGGGAACCAACAGAGGAAAACCGTAAAACAGTTTGGGGGTCAGAGGTTCGCCCAGCCCAAATTGTCTCTGGCTACTTGTTTGTGTTGGTTTAGTTAGTGTCGGTTTAGTATTGCTTGGTGCTGCCTCAGCGCTGGTTTCGTGTTTGCCCAGAATTGGTTCAGATTTGGTTTAGTATCGGTTCAGTATTGGTGCAGAATTGGCTCAGAATTGGTTGGGTATTGGGACATCTCTTACCTCACGCTTTTCAATTGAGTGTGAGGGCCTCGGCTGTTCTCCCTTGGAACATTGTTAGCTGGGTTCTCTTCAGGAGGCTTAGATGTTTTGAGGGGGGTGGTTTCCCTTTCTGAAACAGAACGTTGCCCCGAGCGACGGGATTTTCGTTTTTTGATTACGCCCGCCATAAAGCCAAAAGCTCTGGAGGAGTTTCGGCCATCCATGCGCATTCTACGTGTTCCGTTTGCCTCTTTGGAAAGGGGGTTGGTCTTATCAAGTCTCGTGAACCAGGGTGGCAACTTACAAGCCGGTGCCAAGTGTGTTTTGCAACTCTTTGGTTTGGTGTCTAAGAGTGTGTGTGTGTGTGTGTCAAAATAGGCATTTGGAATTCCCAACGAAATGATGGGAGTCCTTTTGGTCCCTTAAAGCGGTGCCGACTCACAAGCACCACCAACCCAAGTCGAGCTTCCCCGATCCATCCGAAGGTATGGGCGTGAACGGCTTCGGGCGCATCGGGCGCCTAGTGTTCAGGGCTGCGGTGGGGAACACGGACGCGGAGGCGGGGGCAGGGAAATTGCTTGGGGTGCCTGGGGTCGATTGAGGGGGGGGAGAAGGGGTGTGGATTGAGGGGGGGGGGGGAGAAAATTTCGGGGGGGGGGGAAAAGGGGTCCAGGTTTCCACTTCGAGATTTGGGGGAGGCAGGACGCTTCTACTGCATGGCCCCGACGAGCTCGGCAGGTGAAGGCCATCAACGACCCCTTCATGGCCTGGCGCTCAGCGTCCCCTACGCGCCCTTTGCGTGCTGGAGCGAGCCGGGCGGGAGAGGGGGGGGGGGAGACCTGCTGTTTGGGAGGATGGAAATTAAGGACTCATAAGCTACACCACCTTCCCAGTTTGATCTTCCCGGCGTCGCTCCATCGGTGAGCTGGCTTCTATGTAGCAATCACAGCAGCCACGGTTCTGCTGAATCATCCCCTGGCGGGGCGGTGCTAGTTTCGTGATATGGGTATGGGTCCAAATTAAACCACCAGGAAATGGACCGCAGGTTTGAGTCCATGTTTCCATTCACCCGGGCACCCCATTTTGGGGTTACCCCCTTTTTTTGTGACCACAAAACACCCTTCGTGATTCTTTCCGGCCCGGAGCTTCCGCCATTGGCGCTGTGAAGCTACCAGAAGTTCCCGGCCGGAGCTTCTGAGGACTTGAAGTACATGGTGTACCAGCTGAAGTACGACTCGGTCCACGGCCGGTTCCAAGGCCCAACGCTAGTGACGGGGGAAAATCACAACGAGAGTTTTATTTTTCTTCTTCTTGTCCTTTGTGTCCGTCGAAAAGTGTGGGGGATTGCCATGCCCATGGTTTGTGGTTGGTTTGCCATACCCATGGTTTGTGGTTGGTTTGCCATACCCATGGTTTGTGGTTGGTTTGCCATACCCATGGTTTGTGGTTGGTTTGCTCGCAAATTTTTCGGTTGCATCCACCCTATGGTGTTTCCGTGGTCGTGTTCTCTCGTGGCGAGAGACTGTCCGTTGGAGCGATGTCGGCACCGGACCGGAGAGGCACTTTTTTTTTCTTTTTTTTTTTTTTTTTTTCTTTTTTTTTTTTTAAGTTCCCAGCAACGAGCTGGGCTTCCTTGCAAGTTTGGAATCTAACTAATCTAGTCTCCCCTCAGTGGTCAAAATGCTCCTTGGTTTTTTTTAGGGGTCCCTCGCAAAAGGGATACATGCAGTCCCAGCGACCAGGATCTTTACCAAGAACCACGTTCTGGATGTTTGCCAGGCCTTCGGGGTCCAAACCAGTGCACGGGACTTGTGGGATCAAACCACCGGCGTGCTTGAGGTCGGCTTGGGGGGTTCACGGGTCAATGGGGCTTTGAACCGAGGGTTTCTTAGATTGCGGGGGTCGGGTCGGAAATGGTTGGTTCCTGAGTGTAAGGGAAAACAGGGCTGAAGTGGGGGATACTAGTCACTGAACCAACTTCCGGACCATTCAAGTAGGCGACCGTTTTTCTGTTTTTCCCGGCTTCCTTCTCATTATGCAAGGTAACTGTGACACCATGGCCCACACGCGGAGTTTTGACGGCGCAGGGGGAAAACAGCCGATTCTGTACAGGGCATACGGCCATCAGATGGGTAAAACCGGAAGGGCCACAGAAGCCATCATTCAGGTGGGTTGGAGCGCAGGCTTTTGGCACCATCTGGCTGTGGGTCAAAAAGATGTACCAAAATGGCACCCTGGTAAATGGAACCAAAGACTAAGACCTGCGTAACCCTACCTCTTTAATTTTGAGCCACACCCATCTGAGCAAGTGTTGCCGCAATGGAGCATGTCGCTTTCGGTTCGGCACCTCGCGCATGAACCAAGCTCGAGCGTAGCTTGACATGTGCATTCAGGACTCCCCAAAATCACGCCCTTCCGATCCCAACAAGTTTTTTTTCTTCTTTGTGTTTTTTAGAACCCTCCTTTTTTTGCTGGTGTTCAGGGGAAGCCCAAAGGACCACCACCACATCATTTGGGATCCAACGGGGCGGATATGTCGCCTCGGCCGCGCTCGGAGGCACCATCGCCTGCAAGGAGGACGGCGGCAAGGAGTTCCTGGCCGGGGCCCCCGGGCGGAGATGTGTCTGGGTGGGGCGGGTGAAGAAAAAACCGGCTGGTTGAAAAAACGACCTATCTCTAGATAAAGCGGTGAGACAACAAAAACATGGCTGGGTGGAAAAACAACATAGGTAAATAGAGAGAGAGAGAGAGATAGAGAGAGAGACAGAGAGAGAGAGATGGAAGCCGGGTGGTTGGAACAAAAAACGACATGGGTGTGGGTCAAAATTAACCAGAAGGAATTGGACCGCAGGTTTTAGTCCATGTTTCCATTTACCAGGGTTGCATTCTGGGTACCTATTTTTGACCCACACCCACATAGGCAGATAGAGAGAGAGAGAGAGAGATGGATGGATGGATGGATGGATGGATGGATGGACGGACGGACGGACGGACGGACGGACGGACGGATGGATGGATGGATGGACGGACGGACGGATGGATGGATGGGGAAAAAACATGAAACCATCCCGCCAATCAGAATTGGTTCTACAAGGGAATGCTGCCTGTCCTTGTTCTAAAAGGACACCAAGAGGAAACCCATTTTTGTTGGTTACCCCATTCGGTGAGGTTTCTTTCACCCTCAAAAATGGCAGGACAGAGAATCGGGTCCAATCATGGGTGCTCCAAACAGAATGATTTCCGGAATGCGAGTTTTCCAAAATGTTGCCCACTTGCCTTCGAAGTTTGGGTTCACCCGACAGGAAGGTCCGATCGCCTTAGGTCCGATCCTCACAGGTGGACGGACGGGGCCCACGGAAAGGGGCCCAGGTGTTCGGCGGATCCTCATGAAAAGTGGTTGGACGGGCTCCCACATCCCCACCGAATTTTGAGGAGGTCCAAAGGGCCCCTTATTTTTTTACATACCCAAATATATTGAATTGAAGGAAGCTTGGGGATCCATGTTAATATCTGATACCAAGGGTTCAAGTTTCATGGCCACTGCTTCATCACTTCCAAGAAGGAGGAACCCCAAGAGCACCCTCGAAAAATGAATGTTTCCAAACAACCGGGCCCCAAAAACTGGGCAATGCCACATGAGACATCTCCAAACCAAAAAGCCGAATGGGCACGAGAAGTGTGTCTCAATACTCAAGTGGGTCTGTTTCCCTCTTGGTTTCCTTTCGATAGCTACCCAGGAGAGCCTATTTGGGACCGGATATCTCCAAATGCAGACCGTGCTGGCAGCGGTTTCGAAAAGCGACACGCTTGAGAGATCAACAGCAACTTGGGAACGGCTGAAACACGATCCATTCCTGTTTAAGTCCCCACCTAAACAGGATCACATGACACTACAGCACATGAATCCAAAATGCGGGCCCCGACATATATTGGGTTTCTTTTGCCAAGGAAACGAGAGTTGATCAAGTAGAGCAGATTGGAACAGATCGAGTAGTGGCCAGAGTCAAGTAGTGGCCATGAAGCCAGAGTACAATTCATCCATTTGGGAGGAACTCCTTTTCCGGCGATCCATGTGGCTTCAAATGTCTCCATGGACGAAACCGAGGTTGTGAATGGTAAGGACATCGCAGTTTTCCATGAGAAGGACAGGAACCGCCCGGGTTCGTAAGGCCACTGCGGCTTGCTTTGTTTCTTGATTGTTTAAATGTTCTTTCCCTGTTTTCTGACTCGACTCCCAGCCTTTTCTTTTAGTCAATGCAAAAATGCTGCAGATGTCTAAAAGGGGACACAGCCCGATCAAATCCGGGTTCGCACCACTTGGACCCAGGTGGCTGGTTAATACACCTGGAAACTCCTTCCGGCCAAAATTTCAGCCGCGGACTCCAAAAGGCGCCGTTTTGCGTCCGCCGGCGGAAATTGGCCCAACAAATCGTGCGGCGTTTTTGCTTTTCCGGCGGCGTTTTTCATACGCGGCCTTCCAGAGCATTGCTGCCACGACCTTTGCTTTGATCCATGAGCATGCACCAATGTGACAAGCGTTGATCGTGCAAACCGCCGTTGGACTTGTTATATCCAATATATGCAGCCACAAAGCAGCCTTTTGCAACTTGTAGCAACCGCAGTACCTGCGCAGGCCTACCGCCAATCTCTTCAATCAGGGCATGACGCAGCCCGGGTGTATGAATTATGTTTGTTCGATGCGTGTGCCCTTTTGTCTCCACTGCTTCTGGCTTCAAAGGGGCTGGTTGCCCCAAAGTGCAGGAATCAGTTTTTGCCTACATGCACGGGTTAATAGACGGTTTTGTATTTTTGTTGGTGTTTCGGGCTACGGCGGAAACACGCGGGATTACGGCGGAAACACGCGAGATTACGGCGGAAACACGCGTCCAACCAGTAGACGTTCTCAGGGCCTGGGATTGTGTTGCGTGATCTCCTTCCTTTCGATTCGTGCTGTTATTAGCATCACTGAGCAAAGCAAGTCTGGCCACAGATGCATTGCCGGCGGAAATCAAGATGCAGTTGGCTATGTAGTTGCGGGCACTGACAGTGCCAAAGCTCGTCTACCGACGTGCAAGTGTTTGCCATTTTCAGCCTACGCATTGTTCTCTGGATGGGTGGAGTCGCTGCTGCGTGCCCAGTTGCATAATTTTCAGCAGCGTTTGTGAGCAAACCGAAGACATGCCAGTTGGTTTTGCATTGTGGGAGCAAGTGCTTGGTTCAGTTTTTGTTGTGCTAGACCAGGCTTTACGGCTCTTTTTTTTGCTGCCGGCGTTTTTCAGAGCTGCCGGCGTTTTTTTCTACTTGCGGCTGAAATTCTTGCTGAACTGAAAACGGCTAAAAATTTGGCCGGACGGAGGTTCCAGGTACATATATATATATATATGTATGTATATGTACACATAAACAACTGAACCCCTCCACTTCCTCTTTTTGTGAGGACGTCCAGTTGAACAGTGCAGCTTCGGTTTTCTCGGAACATGCCCGATCTTCCCTATTTCAAACATGTGAGTTGCTATGAAAGCAGCTCCAAGGAAATGGGTATGACAATTTCGTGGGGATGGTGGACATCAGAATTCGGTGTTTCATGGCCAAATATAATTAGGTCGCCTCTGCCTGGATATCAACGTGTACTTCAGAATAAGACAATTTGGAGGTGGGGCGCAAGGGGGTAGGTGCGGATCTTGGATGCGCTGAAATTGGAACCCAATCTGCCCTTCATAGGTCTGTCGGGTGGGTGGGTAGGGAAATGGTTTCAAGAGGGGACACCCCACTCGCAAACCTGTAGAAGAGTGCAGAGAAAGCATGTGAGGTCCATTCACGCTCCCACGAACGGGTTTGGGGGACAATTGGGGACCCCGGACGAGTGCATTCTTTGAGACAGCCCTCTGCGTCCTTATCGCTGTTGCTCCACGATTCTCCTTCCAACAGCCCCCCAAAAAGGGGTACCGAGTTTGGAGAAGGACGTACCGCCGTTCAGGTGTGTTTGACAGGATCTGTTTAGCGATTTTGCCTTCCTTGTTTGGAGACCCACGGATTTTTTGGCCCTTGTGCGGTGTAAGATGTCGTTCAGGTGTTCAACTTGTTTTGGCTGACCCCCGTTTGGTCAAAGGGAACAACTCTGATTTTTGTGGGTACCCCCTAGTAAAGGCGAGCATACGAGTGTTTCGTTTCAGTGTACCTTTTTTGGAGGTGGCTTCAAAGGAAAGCAAAAGGACCACCGCCATTTTGTGGGTCCCGCTCGTTTCAAGGTTGCTCAAAGTGGCGGGCCCCTTCTTGACTCGTGGCTGAACGCAATCAGGACACAGCCCACGTGTGCGTGTCCTCTTGGTCAAAATAGGTGGACCCCCAAAGCAACTAAACAAAAATGGGTTGCTTTCCAAAAAGCCGGTGGTTCGACTTGATGGCTTGCTGGTGGTTTGGATGGGTGGTGAACCATCGGCAATCCAATCCAAACCGCCAGTCCAGCAAAGGGTTACCGTGGCCCCTGATTCAACAATCCCTGGTTATGTTTATGGGGGCGTTTTTTCTTCGGAAGTGATGAAGCCCAACAGAACCAACCCCCTAACAAATTGGGGTTGATTCATCTAGGGTCAACGCTACCCTTCCAATTGGTGGTTTGGAGCCCAATGGATTGGTTGGGGAACGCCCTTTTCACTGGGGACAACAAAATCTGGCTCTGAACCCAGTCTCAACACCTGGGTATGGTTCTTTTTTTTTTTTCCCAACAGGACTTGGACCGCAGGTTAAATCGTCCATGTCTCCACCGATCGGGCACCCCATTTTGGAAATGGTTACCCCAACTTCTTTTTTTTGAGACCACCACAGGCACCTGACCACAGGCACCTGACCACCACAGCCTGACTCCAGCGAGTCCGGGTCCAAGGTCCCGGGACTCGCGAGCTCGCGAGGACCCTGCCTCCATCCCCTGGGGCACTGTGGGCGCCGACTACGTCTGCGAGTCCACAGGCCGAGCGAACGCCAGCCAGCCACCAGCCAATCAACCCATGAAGCAAGCAAGCAACAAACCAGAGCAAGCAAGTAGCAAGCAAGCAACAAACCAAACCAGCCAAACAACCAAGCAACCAAGCAACAAACCAGCCGAGCAGGCAAGTAGCAAGCAAGCCAGCCAGCGAGCGAGCCAGCCAGCCAGCGAGCCAGCGAGCCAGCCAGCCAGCAAGCCAGCAAGCCAGCAAGCAAATTGCCCCACCTAGTTCTGATCAAAAAGGACGATAGCTGACGAAAGCCAAACAACCGCCTTCAGCTAGTTTTTTTTTTTGGCAGAGTCTTAGGCCCGGACTGGTCGAGTTTTTTGTAGTTGTTTTTTTGTGCGTGAGGGGGTCTTTGCTTTGGATCGGTTGTCTTCATCCACCCGCACCAGCTGGGACTTCCTAAGTTTTGACGTCGCAGGCAACTTGCAGATCATGTGCTTTTTTCTTTCTTTGTCTTGGGGACCCTCCAAAGGTTTTTGTTTCCTGGCCCCTGAACATCCACCCCAAACTGGTGTTTCCATATCGGCTACGAAGCGATTCTTGAACTAGAGCACCAAGGATGGCGCGCAAGCCCCAAATCAATCGAGTTTCGGGGTACGAGACTCTGGGCTCCTGCACACAAAGGTGGCTCATCAGCACCAGGAAACGGCGTGTGCCATTGTCCCAATCAGCACCAGCATAGCATTCCAGCCATCTCACCGTCCCGCAGAAACCATCAGTTTGGAAATGGAGAGATGTTACCTCGCAGAAATCAGATGGAAATCAGTTTACAAACCATGGAAATCAGATGTCACCATGCTCGCCGAAAAGGCGAAACCCAAGTCCTACGGATTTTCATCCTCCGAAGCCTTCTGGCCTTCAGCCTTCTTCTCTTCTCTGAAGCCATGGAACCAGAAGTTGAGTGTGAGACAAATGACAAATGTGTCCAACAGGTAGGCCGAAGTGTCTCTGCGGTTTGCCTTTGGAACGGCCCATGGCAGGTATCTTCACCACAAAGGAGAAGGCCCCTGGGCTTGTTGAAGCTTCTCAGAAGGGGTGGAGGCTGATTTTTGGAGAGCGTCCAATTGAGCTTGTGTTTGCTTTGGAGCCGGTTTGTGCTGGCTTGTAATGGTTGGTTGGTCGGTTGGTTGGTCATTGGTGCTGCTTGTTTCTGTGGGTCGCTGTTGGTTGCTGCTGCTTGCTGTTGGCCGATTGCTTGTTGGGTGATCGCAAGGTATTTGTTTGAACGTCACTGCAACATTGCATATACATATATATATATATAGGTCTTGAAGGTATGCATACACGTGTGTGAATACACCAAACAGATAGTCCTTTGCAAGCAATCAGCATAAGGCATTCCTTTGTTTGCTTTGCCACAACCCCCTATCGTTCTCCACCTCCCCCAAGTCGTTGCGGCCTTCTTGTCACAAGCCGCTAGAAGGGGAGCCATTGCAACGGTGACAATTAAGACCCAGGGCCACAACCCTCCTATGGCTGCTAGTTGCGTTTTGGGATCCGCCCGACGCGAGCGGCTGCAAGTGAAAACAGCCGCTTGCAGGAACCAGCAGGCCGACGGCTCTTGCTTCTTGACACATGTCCAACCGTTTACAAGGGGTCTTATCAACGTACCCCTGACACTATTGGATCACTTCAAACAAGTCGCGCCTTGCGAGCCGAACCTTTGGCTGAAAGTGCACGCGCTTTCTCTTTTTCGGATCACATGCGCTTGGCGAGCCACGGCAAACCTTGGTACCATTCCTCAATCGTTGAAAGCCTAGGTCCCCCAGTGCGCTTTTACCCCTTTTTTGGGAGAGGGTTCCCCTACGAAAATAGACTACACAAAAAATGGGTACCCTTATTCTAACCTCTCTACTGGAGGACCTAGAAGCTGACAAGAGGGTGTTGGAAGGCTGCTGTCCTTTCGGTGCAGCTCCCTGCCCATGGCCATGGGTTGCATAATCTGTGGCGATCCCATTTTGGGGTGGATTAACATCCATTTGCCAGCTATTTGATGTTCACCAGGGGTTTCCTGGGTTTTGACCCATATCATGAACTCCAAAAAAGTATTGTGTCAGCGATGACGGAGAACTGCAAGCAAAGGGAGCAATGGCCAGGGTCATAGTGCAAAACACACAAGTGTCCAAAAGACTTTGACAGGCTGCGGCATGTCTTCGTTGCCCAAATTCTCTCGGAGGTAAAGACAGAGCACAGCCCAGATTTGACCGTTCCAGCGTCCAAAAGCTCCTTGTCCTTGGGGTCCTTTGGGCCTTTGGCCTAAGTCCACGCGGAGTCGTGGGAAGTGTCTTGCTTGGCCTGAGACAGAAAACTCGTTGGCTTCCTTTTGTCACAAAGCCGAAAAAAGTCGTCTTGGGGTGAGCCTTGAGCTTCCAAATTACGTCCACTCGGAGTCGTCGGCCACGCGGAGTCGCTTGGCGTCCGAGTCACGTCAACAGCAGGCGGAGCTGCACATCAAGGGCGGGGCCAAGAAGGTCATCATCTCTGCGCCTCCCAAGGTGTGGGAGAAAAACGAAGTTGCCGTGGTCTTGGGCAGGGGTGTCTTTCGTGAGACCATGGCGACCCCCCCAAAAAAAGGGATCTGTCACACTGGGGTGGATCATTTTGCCGCGAAAGGTGGCAAAAAAAAGAACCAAGACTGGTCTTGGGGTTGCGGCCCCAAGGCGAGAATGGCTTGAGTGAGGCGTAAGGAGAGAAGGCCGAGGTGAGGGCTCTAGGGGGCGTGGTCCTTTTTTTTGTGGATTGTGGGGCTCGCAAAAAAACAACACATCTGATCGTGGAAGTCGTCCATAATCGTCCTTTCTTTACATGGGTGTGCCTTGTAATTAGGGGACCTAACAAAGTGATGGTCTTCCTTTTGGTTTCCCTTTGAAGCCAGCCAAAATGCTCAGAAAAAAAAAACAAAAAAACCAAAAAATGAAAACAGACCCGCATTCCGGCTTGAATTCTTCCAGCTTAGCCCCTTGCCCAGAAATCGGATGGCTTTCTTCTGCCTCTTGCTTCGGCTTGTGATCCTTTGCATTCGGGATGGCGGATTCTTGGAAGATGCGTGTGTGTGTGTGTGTGCGGAGTGGCAGAATACCCTGCCACCACTCTTGGATTTGGACTATCACTGCAGGGGGCTTTTCTCTCTTTTTGCCGGAGTCAGCCCGCACCAACGGACCTGCACCTTTTCTCAGTATTATGCGGAGGTGATGCGGGTTCTGATGAGTTGCCTCCGCATAAGAACAGATCAGGAGGGCGAGTTGACGAAACTCCGCATGTGCTGCCATGGATCCTGTGTGGATAGCTTGGAGCATGCGCTGCCATGGATCCTGTGTGGATAGCTTGGAGCACAACACAGTTTACCCTTTTTCGATGTCGGTTGCAGTTTACTACCCGCACTCCGTGATTCTGAATGTCCATTTGGTCCCTTGGTTGCGGCGCTGTTTGTGCTTCTTGTTCTTTCTGGTAACGTTTTCGTCACTAGAGGGAAACCGAGTGCATCGCGAGCCGAAGCTTCACCTGCTCGAGACTCATCGGTTGTACTCGAAGGATTAGCACCCTCCCTTGGGAGTTGAAGTGTGATCACCCCAACTTGGGGGAACCTCGGGTGTACCCATCGTGTGCTTCCGGGCCGGTTCGCCGGAAAATTTGACCTCAACGTTCTTATCATAGTCCAGCGGAATTTCACGTTTAAGCAGGAACGAGGTTTCACTAAAGGGAAGACAGCCACCAGATCATAGTGACGTCTCACACGCAGCTGTTGATGACTTCGACTTCGTCTTTGACTTCGGCTTTGACTTCGGCTTTGACTTCGGCTTTGACTTCGGCTTTGACTTCGGCTTTGACTTCGGCTTTGACTTCGGCTTTGACTTCGGCTTTGACTTCGGCTTTGACTTCGGCTTTGACTTCGGCTTTGACTTCGGCTTTGACTTCGGCTTTGACTTCGGCTTTGACTTCGGCTTTGACTTCGGCTTTGACTTCGGCTTTGACTTCGGCTTTGACTTCGGCTTTGACTTCGCCTTTGACTTCGGCTTTGACTTCGCCTTTGACTTTTTGCCACTTCGGACATGGCGCCATCAACATCCTGAAGGACGAGGAGCTCATCAGACCTTCAAAGTGGATGCCTTTGCCCGGAAGCCCTCAAACGGCGCCAACGACTTCTACGGCGAGTTCCTTGTGAATGCGTAGACTTCGCCTTTGACTCCCTTTGACTTCGGCTTTGACTTCGGCTTTGACTTCGGCTTTGACATCGGCTTTGGCTTCGGCTTTGACTTCGCCTTTGACTTCGGCTTTGACTTCGGCTGTGACTTCGGCTTTGACTTCGCCTTTGATTTTGCTTGCATGTGAACCTTGACTTTTGCGTTGATACAGCACAGCCATCTTCGTTGGGCGTTGTGTTAGCATGTGGTTGCTTTGCTTCATGACATGTTTGCTCGCATGTGAACCTTGACTTTTGTTGATGGCTTCGACTTCGGCTTTGACTTCGGCTTTGACTTCGGCTTTGACTTCGGCTTTGACTTCGGCTTTGACTTCGGCTTTGACTTCGGCTTTGACTTCGGCTTTGACTTCGGCTCTGACTTCGGCTTCGACTTCGGCTTCGACTTCGGCTTTGACTTCGGCTTTGACTTTGGCTTTGACTTCGGCTTTGTCTTCTGAGCGTCTTCGAGCTGACCGGTGGATGACCTGCCTGATCAACTTGGCATTCAGCTGGGAGTCTTGGAGAAGTGCTGGCCGTATATTCGGAAAACTTCGAGGCCTGTCATCGCTTCGAACCAGCCAAAAAGGACACCCATGGCAACCACAACGGAGTCCTCTTTTACTTCGAGCCGCATCGCAGACTTTCTGACAACTTCCGCACTCAGTCGATCTCACCATTCTATTGGGCCCACAACACGGACATCAAGTCCGCCATCCACATCCTGAAGGACGAGGAGCTCATCAGACCTCCAAGCTGGATCGAGGACCCGTCACCAAACGGGGAGTATAGCAAGGATGGGAGATGGAAGCTTCGCTCATCAATTGCTGTTCCCAGATACGTGGGGATGCCGGTCCGCCTGCAGCTCTTATGATGTCTGGAATGCATGGACCTTGCTCAGGTTCGTCCTCGACGATTTGTGGTTGAACACTTGCTTGCCATTGCCTTGTTTTGATTCATTGGACTTGCACGTTGACTTGACCTTCATTTGCCGGACGTTTTCACTGCCTTTACGCGGAGCCCCTCCAACGGCGCCAACGACTTCTAGGGCGAGTTCCTTGTGACTGCCTAGACTTCGCCTTTGATTTCGCCTTTGACTTCGGCTTTGACTTCGGCTTTGACTTCGGCTTTGACTTCGGCTTTGACTTCGGCTTTGACTTCACCTTTGACTTCGGATTTGACTTCGGCTTTGACTTCGGCTTTGACTTCGCCTTTGATTTGCTTGCATGTGAACCTTGACTTTTTTTGATGACTTCGACTTCGGCTTTGACTTCGGCGTTGACTTCGGCTTTGACTTCGGCTTTGACTTCGGCTTTGACTTCGCCTTTGACTTCGGCTTTGACTTCGGCTTTGACTTCGGCTTTGGAAACGGCTTTGACTTCGGCTTTGACTTCGGCTTCGACTTCGGCTTTGACTTCACCTTTGACTTCGGCTTTGACTTCGGCTTTGACTTCGGCTTTGACTTCGCCTTTGACTTGCTTGCATGTGAACCTTTACTTTTGTTGATGACTTCGACTTCGGCTTTGACTTCGGCTTTGACTTCGGCTTTGACTTCGGCTTTGACTTCGGCTTCGACGTCGGCTTTGACGTCGGCTTTGGCTTCGGCTTTGTTTTCGGCTTTGACCTCGGCTGTGACTTCGGCTTTGACTTTGGCTTTGGCTTCGGCTTTGACTTCGGCTTTAACTTCGGCTTTGACTTCGGCTTCGACGTCGGCTTTGACTTCGGCTTTGGCTTCGGCTTTGTTTTCGGCTTTGACTTCGGCTTTGACTTCGGCTTCGACTTCGGCTTTGACTTTGGCTTTGACTTTGGCTTTGGCTTCGGCTTTGACGTCTTCTTTGTCTTCTGAGCGTCTTCGAGCTGACCCGTGGATGACGTGCCTGGTCAACTTGGCATTCAGCTGGGAGTCTTGGAGAAGTACTGGACGTGTATTCGGAAAACTTCGAGGCGTGTCATCGCTCCGAACCAGCCAAAAAGGACACCCATGGCAACCACCACGGAGTCCTCTTTTACTCAGTCGATCTCACCATTTTATTGGGCCCACAACACAGACATCAAGTCCGTCATCAACATCCTCAAGGACGATCCTTCAAAGTGAATAGAGGACCCGTCAGCTCCCCAGCATCGATCTTGACCGTGCTAATTCACGTTCTCCTCACCGCTTCGGATATTTTGGTAAACATTAGGAACACGCTGATTTGGTCTTCCGGATGACTTGATCTTTCCGTCCGGATTGCCACCGTTGACCTTGCGTCGTGTTGCGCAACTTCCAGCTCCACATGTTGATCCTGGGTCCCCTTCTTCTGAGCGCCCCCCCGAGCTGGCCGTGCTCATTCACGTTCTCCTCACCGCTTCGGATATTTTGGTTGACTTTAGGAACTTGCTGATTTGGTCTTCCGGATGCAAAACAATCGCCCCTCGCTGACGGGCGTGTGTGTGCGGAGTGGCAGAACACCCTGCCACCACTCTTGGATTTGGACTATCACTGCAGGGGGATTTTCTCTCTTTTTGCAGGAGTCAGCCCGCACCAACGGACCTGCACCTTTTCTCCGTATTATGCGGAGGTGATGCGGGTTCTGATGAGTTGCCTCCGCATAAGAACAGATCAGGAGGGCGAGTTGACGAAACTCCGCATGTGCTGCCATGGATCCTGTGTGGATAGCTTGGAGCATGTGCTGCCATGGATCCTGTGTGGATAGCTTGGAGCACAACACAACTTACCCTTTTTCGATGTCGGTTGCGGTTTACTACCCGCACTCCGTGATTCTGAATGTCCATTTGGTCCCTTGGTTGCGGCGCTGTTTGTGCTTCTTGTTCTTTCTGGTAACGTTTTCGTCACTAGAGGGAAACCGAGTGCATCGCGAGCCGAAACTTCACCTACTCGAGACGTACTCGAAGGATTAGCACCCTCCCGTGGGAGTTGAAGTGTGTGTGTGTGTTTTTATTTTTATTTTTCTCTGCTCTGTGCCCTGCAAGATGGCGCGGCGGTTTTCCTTTGGTTTCCCTTTGAAGTCACCAAGAAAAGGGCCACCTCAAAAAAAAGAGACCCCTTTGCCTGACTTGGGCCCGTTGCCGAACTAGGAATTGGATGCATCAAGCTGGCGCCTTTTTTGGTCGATTCCCCTCGTGGTTTTCCCTTGCGCCATGCGGTTTTTCGAGGGAATCGTTCACAAGTTGACCAAGCCAGTTTTTAGGAGTAGGTTTGCGTGTTGTGGAGGAGGCAGGGGCCATGGGAACCGTCCTCCACTCACTTTGGGTTGGGTCAAACTCAGCATTCAGTGAATGAGTTGGAGTGATCCCGTACCCATCCCTGGAAGATCAGGTCATTCCAAGGCGACCTGTGCTAGGCGGTTTGAACGTCACCGACTGGAGCACGCGCAGCGGGCTGAGGACTCGGTGCCCATGTACGTGATGGGTGTGAACCACAGCGAGTACAAGCCCACGGATTTGGTGGTGCCTGGGAAGGGCAGTTTGGATCCGTTTGGGCGGCTTGGGTGGTTGCGGGGTTGGGTGGAGAGGAAGGGGCGTTAGGGATGGCGAGCTGGTTCGAAAGCGCCCACTCTATGGGTTTGCCAGTTGGTTACCAGGGTTCTTTTTCTACCTGATCGGGGCTGGGTTTTCCATCTCAGCAAGGGTTCTGCTTAACTGTTCAAGCTTTTCAAACCTTGAACTCCGCTCTTTCAAATGGTCTTTGTTAGTCATTTTTTAACATGTTGGTTTCCCTTCTTGGTTTCCCATCTCGGTTCCAATTCATTTGCAGGGCCTTTGGTTGCAAGTGAGAACATGTTTCAAACATCTGGACTATTTCCACTATGCCCTTTCCAAGGCAACCGTCTGGGCAGCTTTTGGCAGGTTTCCCCACCACGTCTACTTGGCTCAGAGTCCATCAAGTCAATCTCTCCATCTCTATGGCAGCCTGGTGAACTGCCTGGGGGTCCTCCTTCGGACCTTTACAATTCTCTGGGGGCACCCCAAATGGCTGTGGCTCAAAAAACAAAAAGGTACCAAAATGGGTTGCCCTGGTTAGTGGAAACATAGACCAAGACCTGCATAACCCCTCCTGTTCAATTTTGAGCCACACCCAAATGGGGGTCGTGGCAAGCCGCATTTTTCCGGGTCGTTGAGTCGGGCGCAGTCAGGTGTCCAACGCCTCCTGCACCACCAACTGCCTGGCGCCGCTCACCAAGGCTTCGTTTGATGGGAGAGAGGGCGACTGGAGGGGTTGGTTTCGGTTGGGGTAGGTTTGGGGCAGGGTTAGGGTTGGAGTAGGGTTATGGTTGGGGTGAGGTCGGGCTCAGTCAGGGTTGCAAAAATCATTCCACAAGTTTGAGAGGAGCGTTTTTCGCGAGTTTGAACAAGTCATAGCTTCCCCAACCCCCTTGAGCAATCCTGGCCTTGGCCCAAAGCATTTGCTCAAAGTTTTATGCAAGGACCCTGATTTGGGCCCTGTTCTTTAGGTCGCATGCATAATCTTGGGGATCGTGGAGTTGCTAGTGTTCCCCTTGGGCCTCCTCCAAAGTCGGTCCCGTTGACACCAAGACAACACCATCCAGAAAAGTGTCCCAAGGTCGGTTTCAGGACTATTTGTGAGTGCTCAATCCCCCGGAGAAAAAAAAAACCCTTATTGGTGTGGGAGGGGGAGCGACCGTAGAGGTACGATCATGGAAGCATTTATCATGTTAGGACCGCTTGTTGTGATCAAAGCACACGCGCTTGATTGAGTTCTATCTTTGAAAGGATAAACGTATAACAGTGTCTTGGCTGTTCGAAATGTTTTTCCTTTGAATGTTGCAAGGACCCTGCTCAAAGCAGGGACCTTCTTTTGTTGATCCGTTTTGGTTTCCTGTTGGCTGGGACATGGTAGAAGGCCATGGTGCGAGAGCACGTAGGAATCAACGGTGCCGCGGCAACCGAAAGAGTCGCTTTGCGATGGATCTGGAGAGAAACTACTCGTCACAATAGCTTTGTGTATGCAGACTTGCGTATGCAGCGCTGAGAGGGATGTAGAGTGTGACAGTGTGTGTGTGTGTGTGTGTGTGTGGGTGCAGCGTCAGTGTTGAGCGGGCTCTCTGGCGTGGATTTTTGTCATGCAGGCGTACACAAGGTACTTCTCCCTGGGTGGAGCGGGGGAATCAGACCACTTTTGGAGGGGAACTCCCCTTTATGCATAAACTGGGGTTGATTACTGCGGGCCTTTTTTGTGGCGAGGGTTCTGATGAGGTACAGGCGCGCATGCAGCGCTGCGCAGATACTGGCCGAGCAAGATCCAATCAGCAATTGTCCGAGAAAATCCATCCATCCATCCATCCATCCATCCGTCCGTCCGTCCATCCATCCATCCATCCATCCATCCATCCATCCATCCATCCATCCATCCATCCATCCATCCATCCATCCATCCATCCATCCATCCATCCATCCATCCATCCATCCATCCATCCATCCATCCATCCATCCATCCATGTGCCGTGGTTCAAGCACCGCGAGCTCACTCGGGTGGAGCTGATGTCCCAAGTTTCAAAGCATACGACGGAATCTATGCATTCCGCTTGAGTTTTGAAAGCAAGCGCCCTGATGTTTCAAAGCCAAGGCACCTTGAGAAACCGAGGTGTTTCAGTCGTTCAAAACAATGGAGTTTCATTGAAGACAATCCCAAAAAGGGCAAGGCCTGCGCGAGTGAGCCTCGCGAGGGTAGTGCATCGCGTGGTTCCCTTAGGTACCACATTTTCTCCCAAAAGTGGCACACGTGGCACACGTGGCACACGTGGCACACGTGGCACACGTGGCACACGTCCAGGTGGTGCACGAGAAGTTCGGCATCATTGAGGGTCTCATGACCACTGTCCACGCATCTCGCCTGAGAAGCCAAGGCTACCCCTTTTTTCCAGGGCCTGTCCTCTCCCCGGCTCGGCAGAGAGCTGCAACAGGACAAAATCCAAAAATCGGAGAGGGCTAAATTTATGCAGGGGGGTTGGGTTCAGGTCCTCTACTCGGGGATCCTCAATTTCAGGTTTTGGAAGTGTAGAGCACTTGCAGATAGGAACAAGTGGCATTGAATTCCTCTGTGATTCGAATGGACTCTTTTTTTTCTCGGTTCACGTGACATGTAATGTAGGGGCCAGTTGCAGCCAGACATTTGTCGGATACCATTCTTGACATGGGTTTGTGTTGCATCGGTGCCCCTTTTGGGGTTGGCTCAAAGTGAAGCCAAGAGGAAGAATTCTTCAGCGTCGCTTTTTTTCACACATACCCACATGTTATTGGGTAGACTACTTCATCAAAGGACGTTTAGTTAGGACGCTTCTGCAATACGAACAGTTCAACCAGAGGATATGCGAATGGCGGCAAGAGTACGCAGAGTCGCAAGATGGAAGTAAGAATCGACAGAGCCGTGAAAGCGCGAAAGCTACCGTGTTGCCACGGTGTCGCCACGGTGTCGCCACGGGTTCGCCACGGTCTCGCCACGGTCTCGGAAAAATTGCCGAAGGGCTCTCACTGTGGAGCTGTACGAATTGGCAAAGCGCCATCAAATCCTCCTCCCACAGCTCCGACGGCCGGAGCTTTCATGTGCGAAAGTAGTTCGCGAAGTACTCGTGCACGTTGCTTTGCGCAAGTTGCTCTGTGCAAGCGGCTCTGTGCAAGTTGCTCTGTGCAAGCGGCTAACTTGCCCTGTGAAACTTGGCTCTGTGCAAGTTGCCCCGTCTAAGTTGCTCTGTGCACCTCGCTCTGTTCAGGTTGCGCAAGTTGCCCTATAAGTTGCTTTGCAGCCATGCTGACTTTACGAGGCAGATTCAGTTCCTATAGGCACAGTTGTTTGTCTAGAAACTTCCGTCATCCAGCTTCGCCGGAGAAGACCTGCTATAATGCCATTGTTCATGACTCGCATGGTATCACAACTAGGGTTGCGCCCTCCGTTTTCAGCCATAGATCTCCACCCAAAGCCGGTTCCCCTCAAAGGTCAAGCTTTCTATTGAGATTCAAACATTTGGGCTTGTTGCGAGATAGAGGAATCGAAGATGGCGGGTTTCCCAGCATCCCTGGCAAACCAAGCAAAGGGGAGCTAGAGAAAACGAGCCGCCCGTTTGCGTGGAAACCAGCAGGACAACTTGATGAGTTTGGGGACGAGTCGAATATTCTGTCTGACATGGAATCCACCAGTTTCAGCCAGTTTCAGGGGAAACAGGGCCACCGAATGCTCGGTTTCCATGTTACCCTCCCCGTTGCCATGGCACCTGACTGGGAAATGGGCGTGTCGTGTTGCGAGGGTACACTTTTCAGAATTGCATTCAGTGAAAACCACTCACCCATTTTGTGGGTCTCTTGAAAAGACAAACCCAATGATCCTCTAGAAACCTATCCTCCAGGTACCCTCCTACAGATGTTTGCAGGAGGAGGGTAGTGAGTGGGAGGGCAACGCATTCTTCTTCTTCTTCCAGGGCTCCTAAAAGCTACATTTTGCCAATTGGAACATAGCTTTTTCCACCAAAATAAAAGGAAACCACGATTTACAAGGCAATGTTCAGGTGTATAATGTAAGGATCCTTGTCTTCTTCTTCTTCTTCTTAAAGGCCCCACTTGCCTTTTTTCAAGTTTTCTGTTTCCGATGCGAAGCTTGAGGCGACCACTGCAACCCAGCTCACCGTGGACGGCCCCTCTCGCGGCGGCAAGGACGTCGTTTGCCTCAGGTGAAGGGCTGAAGTACGAAGAACACTTTTCCCATGGCCATGGCATATTTGAGTTTTTTGGTACCCTACATCCCTTTTTTATTAGCCCCTTTATTAGTAGTCGAGGGCCTTGCCTAGCAATACATTGCTTTCATACATACACCCCCCCCTACATTTTTTTTCATCTTCCATCTTCTACCCTTATTCGTTTTCATCATTTTTCTACATTCCTTTCTGTCCATCTCCTCCGTTTTTTTCTCATCATTTTTCCAAAATTTTCGCCATCCTTTTCTCCTTCCTCCTCGCCTCATTCATTTCACCAACTACCTTTCAAAATGTCATTTCCTATCTCCTCACCTCATCCATTTCAAAAAAATAAATTTTGCAAAATATATTGCAAACAATATTTGTCATCAAAAAAATATTCGAACTGTCTAAAAACGATTTGTCCATTTCTCGGACAAAAAATAGAACAGCAACAACATCACTCCCCTCCTTCGTTTCATCACTTTTATCATATATGTTAATAGGCGTGGTCGCATAGCTTGCGAGCTTCGCTAACGCTCGCATCCTCCTTGTAGGATTTTATCTTCAATATATAAAACGCTATACTTACATTATAATTATAACATATAAGGGTATAAATGTTATTATTATAGTATGATTAAGAATTATGGGTTACATTTATAGTCAGGAAAAATGTCTTCAAATATGTAATCTACATATTTATCAATATCACCAATGTCTATATATTTGATATTGTCTTTTCCTATTATTGAATAAATATATTCCCAGAAAAACAAATTAACTAGTAGCCATACTTGATATTTAGTGTTGTAGTAAGACCATACATGATATTTAGTTATTCTAAATTCATTCAAGACCTCGTTTATTTTATCTTTACTTAATAAATGCCAATCAATCGCTTCAAACATGTCTCGATTTTTTTTTATAACAAATGCTTTATATGGTTTAACTGCGTTTGCCCCTCCAAACCTCTTAATTAAATCTTTATTATTAAAGAACTCATCAATTTCTTTTTCAAATGACTTTCTAGCAATTTTATGGTAAAAAACATACAGGAAATCGTTTTTGATATCTCATAAAGAATTTCAATTGTAATTGAAACTTTGTATATCCCTTATCCTTATGTTCTTCAACAAAAAACATTTCAAGGTCTCTTGTTATACAGCATTGATTACAATATACATCATATTCACTTATTTTACTACACAGATTAGCAGGTAATAACTTATACAATGTTATATTAACATCATTCCTTTTAGTTGTACAACATTCGCACTTTGAATAATTAAATAACATTTCCACTGTAGTATATATAGTGTTTATTTCTTTAAATACTTTTTTACAAGAAATAAATTACATATTGAAATATAATTATAACATATAATATTTTACATGTTATTATTATATTATGATTATAATTTAAGTTCAGGATAATAATTTAATTGATATATCTTACCTCTTTCATACATCATTTTAAAAATAAGATTAATATCTCTCACTGTATTTTTAACATTAACCTGTTCACTTTCAATATATGATTTTATGACTTTTTTTACATCAACGCCGGGTTTACTATAATAAATCAACATCCATAATATGTCATTAATCATTTCATACTTTTTCTTACTGATTTTAAGAAACTGTTTAACATAATCGTAAGGTGGTCTTTCATACACAGTTAAAAATATCAATATGTCATCTTCAACATTTCTTTCATCTATATTTTTAAACGCCAAACAATTTTCTATTATATTTTGATATCGTCTCCATCTTCTACAAGTTCTACATATATTTTCTTCGTCCAAAGAATAATCAATAATATTATTAACTATTCCATTAGGTAAATTCAATTTATATAATTGCATATTTTCTTTTTTAAAGTGGCAACAATCGTAGCATTTCTTATTGATATAATTATTGATTTCGGTTTCCACCATTTCTATTATAATATATATATATATAGTTTATATTTCTTTAAATACTTTTTTACAAGAAATACAATTAAATATTGAAATATAATTATAACATATAAGATTTTACATGTTATTATTATAGTATGATTATAATTTAAGTTCAGGATAATAAGTTAATTGATGATTATTAAATTGTGTATATATCTTACGTCTGTCATGCATCAGTTCAAAAATAATATTGATATCTCTCACGGTATTTTTCACATTAAACTTTTTGCTTTCAATTTCTGATTTAATGTCTTCTTTTACATCACACCCTTCTCTTCTACGATGTAACAATATCCATAAAATGTGGTTAATCAGTTCATACTTTTTCTTACTGATTTTGAGAAATATTCTAACATAACTATAAGGTGGTCTTTCATACACAGTTAAAAATATTATAATGTCGTCTTCAACATTTCTATTATGTCTTCTTTTCAGATTTAAATGACATCTGATTAATTCTTGATTATCTCTCCAGGTTTTACAATTTTCGCATATATCTTCTTCATCCATTGAATAATCAATAACATTATTAACTATTCCATTAGGTAAATTCAATTTATATAATTCCATATTTTCTTTTTTAAAGTGGCAACAATCGTAGCATTTTTTATTGATATAATTATTGATTTCGGTTTCCACCATTTCTATTATAATATATATAGTTTTTATTTCTTTAAATACTTTTTTACAAGAAATAAATTTATACCTTTAATAACTCATGTCTCAAAAATGCCCTGTCATAATTTTCAATATAATAATATTCCTGTCCTAACTTCTTTTCAATCTTTGCTATTTTGTATGTTTGTTTAGTCCAATGGCTTGTGCGTTCCTTTTCTGTTATTCCTTTCTTCCTTGCTATTTTGACTTCATCTGAGGTTTTCAACTCAGGATATTTTCTGGTCATGCTTGCATGAGTTGCAATGTTGAGCCCTACGGTCAAGTGATTTTTGGGTTGTCTTGCTTCCTGGGGTGTGTGTCCAGTTGTAGAATGAACCATTTTATTATTATAAGTAAGTAATACTTCAAAATTATAATCTGTCCATTGTATATTTTCTTTTCCTTTTTTCTCATCGTGTTCAATCCGCTTATACAGCATTTGCTTGTACGTGCGCACAAATCGTTCAGCCATTGGAGCATGTCCTCTTGTTAAATATAATTCAATGCCTTCTTTTTTGAAATAATCTTGAATAATGCTTGTTGTAAATGAACCTTCCATATCTCCATAAATCATGTTCGGCCTTCTTCCCATTTTGTGTAATCCTTCTACTATTCCATGTGCTACATCTTCAGGTTGTTTAGATTTGATAGGTATAACAACTGCATATTTTGTGAAAGCGTCAATAAATAAGAAAGCAACCCTATTTTTTTGATTTGTTAAATCACTGAAAAAGAATAAGTCCATTTGATATTCCTAGTATGGTTCTTTCGGAATAAAACTGTTATATCCTCTCATTTTAGTTTTTTGTTCAACATTTTTTTTTAAAAGAATGCTTCAATATCTGCCATTGTTATGCTTTTATCCTTTGCCCTACTGTCCTTAAGTGTGGTGGCTTTACTTCCCAACCCCCCCTTGTCAAAATAAACATCTTTTATTATATCTTCTTTACTATTGCTCATTATACTAAAGAAGATATTTTAATTTTATTATGGTTCTTGTTCTGGTTGCTTTTGTTGTTGTAGCCATTGATGGTGTTTTTCGGTTTTCTCATGTCTTCGTAAATGGGTTTTGGATACCTTTGACCCACATTGACAAATAACAATTTCACGATTGATTTGGCTTAATCTGTCTTTGTTTTGTTGGTAGTATTTTTTGCAGGTTTCAATGTCTTTATCTCTATGTTTTTGGTGATATGCCTTTCTCATTGTATTGCAGTATTCTCGGTGGTTGTAAAAGTAGTCGTTGCTTTTCTTAATTATAGTTTCCCTGTTGTCTTGATACCATTCTGTCTTGCTTCTACCTTCTACTCTCTTATTTACACATTTACTATTTTTTATATAATATCCTTCTCTTGCCTCCAGCTCCTTTTTGCTATTACAAGGGTAATCTTCTATCCATTCAATTTTACAATTTTCAACATCGAATTCATCGAATATTTTGAATACAGTATTTCTATATTTTTTGCCTTTAAGATACTGCGTGTATTTGTATCTATGCCTTGCCATTCTCTGGCTTAGTTCTTCGCATGTAGAACCTATATAGCATTTATTATATCCCACATCTGTTATCCTGTAAATCTTGCCATTCTCATATCTGCTCATATCCTTACTTATCTTAAGTTTTCTTTTCTTTAAATCAATATCTATAAAAACTAACTTTATTCAAGTCCCTAGCTCGACTTAATACAACCCAGACCCATTGCCTAGATACATAACCTTTATTCCAGTCATAAATCACTATCTCATCATCTATTGAACTGCCCTGAACAGAATGAGCAGTAAAGCAATAACTGTAAATAAAATTTGAACGAAGCTTATCTTTCAAAAATTGTTAATTCTTCCATTGTTTTAACTTTTTGTAAAGTACATATGTTACCATCAATTTTGACTATGGTATATCTAAAATTAACATTGAACACGAATCATTTTATTTTTGAATATTCCTTACATATCATAACATCGCCTATTTCAAATTCATCTTTCTTATTTAATAATTTGCGTATGTGATTCGAAACAATTTTACAGGTTTTATTTTCGTATGCTATATTATGATTACACATTTTAATATCATCTACCCATTTAAAGTATTTGTCTATTATTTGTTCAAAGTGGATTTTGGTATATAATAAGTCATGTTTAATGTTAGATAGTTTAGTTTTATCTTCTATAGTGTTAAGCCTTTTGCATTCATATAAATAAATTTCATATTTAAAAATAATCTTGATACATTCGTTAGCGTATTCTTCAAAAGGTTTAGTATTTGATAATGGTTTTATTGTTGGTAGTTGGTTAGTGTCGCCAGTTGCTACTATAATTTTATTATGTTTATGCTCTTGTATGAATTTATCTATTCTACAAT